CCATACAACCTAGGCTGTTAAGCTTAATCTCACTATCTGTCTGAATATCAAAAACCTTAGGCATAACATGGAACAGGTATTTTTCATCGAGTATTGATATGTTGAACTTTAAGTACCTATAGAATATGATGAAAAAACATTTAAAAATTAGAATATTTTTAAAAAATAGGCATAAAGAGTTATATAATTCTTAAGTTCACACATGCGTCCAAAAATTGGCCTGTAGTTCTCAGTTGCATCTTTCCCTGGTTTTGGTATCAGTATAATACTTGCCTCCAGGAATGATTTTGGAAGGACTGCTTCCCTTTCAATTTCATGGAAGAGTTTGAGGAGTATAGGGAGTACATCTTATGTAAATTTCTTGTATAATTCAGCTGTGCATACATCTGGACCTGGAATTTTCTTTGTCAGTAGCTTTTTAATTACATGTTGTATTTCAATGGCTGTTATTTGGCTATTGAGAGTGGTTATATCTTGTCGATTCAGATTTGGTAATTTGTATCTTTGTAGGAATCTGTCCATTTCTTCTGTGTCTTCTATTCTGTAAGAGTAAAGATTCTCAAAGTAGCTATTGATAATCTACTGAACTTCCACTGGGTCTGTGGTAACTACACAATTTTCTTTCCTTATTGCTTGTATTTGAACATTTTCTTTCCTCTTTATGATGAGGTTAGCTAAGGGCTTATTGATTTTATTTAATCTTTCAAAGACCAGCTTTTAGCTTTTTAAATTCTTTGAATTGTTTTCTTTGTCTCAATTGCATTAATTTTTGCTCTAATCTTTATGATTTCTTCCTGTCTTTGGGCTCTCTGTTTGGTTTTCTCTTCCTTTTCTAATTGTTGACGGTGCAGCATTAGGGTATTTATTTGTTCCCGTTCTGTTTTCCTAATGTGTGAGTTCAAAGCTATGAATTTCCCTCTGAGAACTCCTTTCATCATATCCCATAAATTACAACATGTTGTGCTTGAATTTTCATTGAATTGTAGATATTTTTGAATTTCTTGTTTAATTTTATCTGTGGCCCATTGGTTGCTGAGTAGGGTGTCATTTAATTTCCATGTAATTAAGGTTTTTTTTCTGGTTTTCTTTTGTCATTTATTTCCAGGTTCATTGCACTGCGGTCAGATAATATGCATGGGATAATTTCTCTTTTCTCACATATACTTAAGCATGACCTATGGAACAGAATGCGGTCTATTTTAGAAAATGACCCATGTGCAGCTGAGAAAAATGTGTATTCAGCTGTGTTTGGGTGGAACACTCTGTATATATCCACTAAGTCCATTTGTTTCAAGCTCTGGTTCAGTTCTGTTATTTATTTGCTAAGTTTTTGTCTGGCTGACGCATCTTTTGGGGATAAGGGGTCGTTAAGGTCTTTTGTAAAGATTGTGGTATTGGATATTAGATTTTCATGTCCATTAAGATTTGCTTTATATAGTTGGGTGCTCCCGTGTTTGGTAAATACATATTTATAAGCGTTACCTCTTCCTCTCACATTTTTCCCCAACCAGTATATAGTGGCCTTCTTTATTTCACTTGATCATTGTTGGTTTGAAGTTGAGACTGTCTGAGAATAGGATTGCTACCCCTGCTTTTCTCTGAGGTACTGGGACATGTAGTATTGTGTTCCATCCTTTGACTTTCAGCCTTTGAATGTCTTTATGAGTTAAATGTTTTTCTTGTATACAGCACATTGTTGGATTTTGTTTCCTAATCCACTGTGACAGTCTATGTCTCTAAATTGGTGAATTGAGTCCACTTGTATTGATGGTTATAATTGAGATGTATTGACTTATGATTGACATGTTATTTATCTGTTGTCATTTACTCCTTTTTCTCCTTTGTTTAATTGCTTGCCGTATTTAGTTGATTGCTTCTGATCTCATTCTTGGAGTTCTGATCATTTTGGTCCCTCTCTAGAACATCTTTCAGGAGCCTGTGTAGTGTTGTCTTTGTCATCATGAAATTCTTTAACTGTTCTTTGTCATGGAACTATTTCACTTCTTCATCAAACTTGAAAGAGAGTTTTGCAGGGTATAATAGTTTGGGCTGTAATTTGTTTTCATAGAGGACTTGAAGTACTCTGCTCCATGCTCTTCTTGCCTTCATGGTTTGTGATGTGAAGTTGGCCATAATTCTGATGGGTTTTCCTTTGAACCTGATCTGCTTCTTTTCTCTAGTGGCTTGCACTATAGTATTCTTGTGCTGAATTTCTGGGATCTTGACTATTATATATCTCAGTGTATTTTTCATTGGGTTGAGGTTACTTGGCATTCTGTATGCTTCGGTTACCTGAATGTCAGATTGTTTCCTCATATTTGGGAAGTTTTCTGCTCTTATTTCTGCCCATATTTTTTTAATGTCATTTGTTTTGGCTCCTTCTTTCTCACTGATGCCTATTAGTCTCACATTGTTCATCTTTGCATCATCTTGCAGATGATGATTTATTCTTTCCTGCATCCTCTTTGTTTTTAAGAGATCCTTTCTTACCTTTTCACTAGCTACACCAGCATCTTCAAGATCTGAAACTCTGTCTTCACATTCACTTAAACGGTTTTGCAAGCTTGTGATTGAGAGTTTAATTTCCTCTATATCTCTTTGACTCTGCTTCATGCGATCTATTTCTTTCCTGTACTGCTCATTCAAGGAATTAGTCATTTTTCTAATCTCCTCTATTTTTTTTTATCAATGTCTTCATTAGAAGCAGTTATAAATTCTTTTACTGCAGTGGTTTTTTCAGATTGGAAAAACACTATGTTTCTGTAGTTGATTCTTTACTTCAGATCTATGAGTTCTGAGAATTCTTTTTTTATTTCCAAAAAGAATTCTGTTCTGAGTTCCTCTATAGCTTTCTTCTGTTTCTTCTTTATTTTCGAAGCTATTAATTCATACATTTGAGCTGAGCTAGTGTCCTCTGCACTTGTTCTGGGTGGGCATTGGGTTTTCTCCATATGTTTGTGCGTTTGATTCTTTACTGAAGATGTTATCAATGCAGTGATTTCTTTTTTCATTTCCAAACTGAGTTCCTCTATACCTTTCTACTGGTATTTCTTTATTTCAGAAGCCATTGATTCATTGCTTTCAGGTGTGTGATTCCCAGTTTGTTCTGTGTTAGTGTCTTCTTCACTTGTTATGTGTGGGCTTGGGTTCTGAGATTCCATTTTACTCCTTCTCATTGTCGTTTTGTGTAGCACTGTCTTCTGACATTTGTTGTAGATCTTTCTTGCAGTTATATCCTTAGCACCTACTGAAGTTCAGGTGTAGATCTACAAAGTTTGGATTTATCCAGCTGTGCCTGGCTTGGGTCTGGCTGCTGTGCTCAGCTCCTTCATGCTGTGTCCCTTGGGGGTGAAACTGTTTTGCCCCCCTGGCAAGATGTTCTGCTTCTTGACTAGCCTCATGGTTCTGTCCCCTACACTCTTTGCAGGAATTGCAGCTGTAGGGTTTCACCCCAGGCCTGTATGCCAGGCCTGACCTGAGTCTGGAGTGGACAAGTTGGAGTAGTGGGGAGAAGCAGCTCTCCCACGCACTCACCAGCCCTGGATTAGGACTGCATCTAGGGGTTTCCTGAATGAGGCAGAAATTACTACTTGGCCTGCTGGGTGGGGGAGGTGCTGTGTAGTGGTGGAGGTAATTCCAAGGGGGTGGAGGAGGGTCTCACCCACTCTGCACCTGGACTGGGACCAATAGATCCCGCCGGCGCAGGGTAGCAGGAAGCTCTCCAACACTCACACTGTAACACGTTTCTACAAGATAAAGTCAAATGCAATGTTAGAGTTGCCTCAAAACCAGGGTCTGATGATCTGTGAGTTGAGGTCAAATCGAAGCCCAGTGAGCACAAATAACATCTTACTATCAAGGATATCACAAACGTACCTCCGACCCATGAAATGTAGGACTTGCAGTACAATGAGCAAGTGGGGTCATCAGCATGTCTTAAGAAAAAAAGAACAAGAATGTTCACATAAAGACCACAATCAAGAAAATCATGCTTCCAGACCTGAGATAAAGTTATCACAGTTATACATGAATTACATGTATCATATTCGAGAAGAAGAACTGTACATACCATGTTTAGGTTCCACAATAACAGATTTCCTCCTTGCCACACTTGACTCTATTACAGACTATATCATATAATTGGTAGGCTCTGGGGCCAACAACAACCCTGGGAAACTCACCAACCCACAGGATATAGAGAAGTGGACAGCAACCATGAGCATCCTCATATTGTCCAGGACATATCCTTCTGTTTTTTTTTAATGATATGCCTGGACTCAGGAACAATGGCTAAAAACTGGATTAAAGAGAATGGTAGAAAACCTCAGAGGTGTAGCCACAGTCATAATGTTTCAGGGAAGAGGAGGCCACACTTCTCTTTTCACTAACAAATACTTTACATCTATAGTAAAGATATTTTACTTTTTCTAAGGCTGTCATGGTTTGGAAATTATGCAAAGAGTACAATAAAATACAAGACAAATTTTATAAAAGACTAGTTTATAATGAGTCAACCAAAGAATCTTATACAAAGAGTGTAGGACATCTGTTCACACACTAAAGACCAAAGAATCCAGTTGAGTGCCTGGATCCCAGTATAATGTGCTGCATGAGTCCAGCTGAAGACCAAGAGCTCATAACAAAACCTCCCCTAAGACCAACTAGAGGCCAACAGCCCATGACAATGTCTTATGCTGGCCCGCTTCATGGATCTTAAATGAAAAGGCTCAAAGGTCACTGGTAAAAGCTAAAAAGTCTATGTCAGCAGGATGAAAGAACTGTACTAAGAGATATGGACTGGAGCTAGGAAGCAATGTTCAAGGTCAGAACAAGAGTTTCATGCATAAGTACCACAGCCATCCTCAGCAAAAGTAAGGTCCCAAGCTCCTCCAGAAATGAATAAAGCTGAGTTCCCATCAAGAAAGCCAATGCGACAAGGTTCTCCAGGAGGCTGAGCTGTGCACCATCTACCCCTCTGAAGCCAGGAAGTGATGCTCAAGATGAGGACCACAGCTCCCCCAAAAGGAACCATAGCCATGCTCAGTGATGACAAGGTTCTGAACACCCCCTCTGATAAGAAGAGTGAAGTTCATCAGGAAAGCCAGCATGACAAATTCCTGCAGAATACCACAGGAGAACCAGCATCTTCCAATAGCTCCAACAGCTGCAACAGACTCTTTAAACAGCTTCCCTAACAGCCTCTCCCAGCTCTATTCCAGTTCTGTCTCTGATGCTGCTAGCAACCATCCCCAGGTAGACCTTCTACACCCAGAACCATGCTAGTTCAGTTCAGCTGAGTGTGGCAAGTTGATCACCAATTAGTAATGCCTTAGAGAAGCACTATGATTTGCAGGTTTCTGAGGGGCATTCAGGAGCTCTGGCATACAGAGGGTTGATGGCATGGAGTGTGGAGGAGGCATAAGATTTGAACCAGTAACTATAAAAGAGTGGTTTCAATGAGAATTGGTGGGAAATGGCTTTAGGATACAGGGCACAGAAGACATGCTTATGGACTCTAAGTGAAAAAGGCCCTGAGAGGCCAACAAATTGGCTGGGGGCCTCTTTGCTAAAGCTTGATTATCATCATGTTGAGAAGCTATAGACTATCACTTTTAAGTAAAAAATGCATTAGTAATGGTTGGGAATGACTGAAGTCAGATGGTAATGGCAATGAATGCTTGAGTAAGGGTGGGACGCTGTTGACAAAAAATGAAAGGGACAAGAGGATTTACATTAAAACTGACCAGTGATAAAATAAGAAAGAAAACTAAAAAAATAGGAATTATTCAATTGTTGATTTCTTTTGTTATGTGTCTATACATTACTTTATTCTAAAAGATGAGTTACCTATGGAATATTTGCTTGCATAGTGAATATAAATTTTTGTCCTCTGCTGTAGACACTTCTAAACTGCAGTCATATCTAAAATGAATGAGTAGGTAATTGAAGCGCTACTTTGTTTTTCTTTTTCTTTTTCTTTTTTTAAATTATATTTTAGGGAAAGGACTACAGGGTGTTCAGGGCCTCACTACTAGATCAGACTTGTAGTGATCTGCCTGTTTACGCCTCCCAAGAGCTGCGATTACAGGTGGGTACCACCAGCCCCATCTCAATTGTCATCTCACTGTGCATTGGGGACAGTGCCAGCATGGCAGGCCTGGAGGTAGAACCTCCAGTCCCTGCACCCACTTACAGGTGCTTTAGTCTACTCAGCTATTTGGCCAGCGCTATTACTTTGTTAATTATTAATGGATAGATATATTTATAATAGCATTATACTTGAAAGACAATCATCAGTTCCATATTTAGATACCATGATTTATTGATCAGATATTTGAAAGAAAAGAACTATCAGTGCTTAAATACATCCTTTAAGAGTATTAACAAGAATATGTGAATTCTGTCCCAAATGACGAATGCAAATTACTTGCAATTTCTATTAACATACTTTTATAAAAAACATGTTTTAAATAAAAAGTTTTAAATAAAGCTTTAAATAAAAAATAAGATTCATATCAAAGTTTGCAACAATCTTACCCATGCCCCTGTGGGTCCCTATTTGAGAATTTCACAGTGGAATGGGTACTACAGAGCTACTTTCTATTGCCTGTTGTCCATTTGCACAATGCTATTTAGAGGATGCCTGCTGAACTTCCACGACAGAGGCAGAGAAATTGGGTTTTAGATTCTAGCTCAACACTGTTTGCACAACTTTTAGCTCAGGTTTTTCTTAAAGGTAACTGATGCACAAGAGTCCCTTTATCTAGGAGTTTTCCCAAGTATAAATCCACATCTATCTGTAAATCTATAACTTCACCTAACTTGTAAAACAACATAGCCTTTACTAACAGATTATATCTGCCCCCTCTACTAACCATGTGCTCAGACATGCTTACCCACCAGTGCAGTGTAGTTTGGTACCCAGAAAATTGCTGAGTTCTGGGAACACTGTCACAATAATGTTATCACACCTCATGGGCAGAAGCATCGGACTGCCAAACAGAGGAGGAAAGCAAATAATGGCTGCACTAGGCAAATGTCACTACAATGCAAATTAGAACAGATATTCATTAATTTTTGTAGTCTTATAATCTATCAATATCTTCCAGAGCTAAGAAAACATCACATGCAGAGTAAAAAGTTACAGTATTTCTGAATTCTGAGACATGTACAGAAAAAGAGACCTTATAGTTTCACTTCTACAATTCAGTCATGGATCAGCTGAAAAAGGAAACAGTAAAATTTCCCATTCTGTATATAGGAAAACTGCTGTCTTCCCAGTGTGATTGAAATTCTTAACGTGTTTTATGAATAAAAGACCATTAGAAAATGACAACACTGGCAAATAAGATTTTTCTCATCTTTCATCCAACAGAATTAGATTTCAATTATTTATAGAAATCTGTAGATGGTCAGATCCTGAAAACAGACTTCTAACCCTTTTGTCAACAATGAGATTAGCTGATCAGCAGCAAGGGAATAAATACAAAATAAATATAAAACAAGTAGTTTGGAAAATTGAATTATAAAATTAAATACTGAAATAGTATTCAGAAACACCAGAATCTATAAAGTCCTACAATGCTTTGAATATATCTTGAAGAGTCAGGAAAAGATACTCTTGTGATTTAACTGATCATAACAAATAAATTTGTTATGAAGATATACAGAAGAATTCACTGGCAGTATAAACATTGTGTGTAAAATGGGTGTATAGTTCAAACAGTAAGATCATGATATTTACACATATAGCAAACAGATACAGTTTTGAAAGAATCTGTTTAATCTTATGTGAGAATTGACAAATTTTGCAAGCAGTTGAAGAGAGAAATCCAAAGAGCAGATATATAAATAATTATCATGAATACTTAAGTAACTTCTTAAATAGAATCAAACTTATTTTTGCTATACCACAGTCAGTGTGATGAATGAACCTCTAATGGAAAATGATTCTGCATTTATTTCTGTGACCAGTGGCTTACAAAGGAACATAAGGAATTCAGAATCAATGCAAGGCTGTGACCAGACCACCTGAATGGGGTGTTAAACACCAGGCAATGCTCTCATTGAAACTGAAGTTTTTCTAGAGCTTTAAAGTTTATTAGTTGTATCCAGTCACTGGTGCAACCAGGTTCATGTCATGGACATGCATAGACAGAGGCCTCCCCAGAGCTCAGTGGCCACCCATGACAACACAAATCCCTGAGTGTCACAAAGTTAACTCCTGAACAATAAAAAATACAGAGTGGCTGTAAGCACTGCTAGTTTCAGCAGCTCCTGTCACAGGACAGTACAAGCTGGGGCAGTTTTTGTCAAACAACATGGCTGGGAAGAAAAGTGGTAGAAAATCTTAAAGCCCAAGAAGAAGGCAGTTTCCTGCTCTTCCCAGGCAGAACTCCAATTTCCAGTGAGCTGAGTGGAGCAATACCTGACAGAAGGTGGCTATGCACAACGATTGTCCTCCACCACACCAGTCTTCCTCGCTGGCGTCCTAGAGTTTCTGACAGCTAACATCCTGGACCAGGCTGGCAAGGAGGCTCAGGACAAGCACAAGAAACGCATCGCCCCCCAGCACCTGGAGACCGTGATAGAGAGCATCCAGCAGCTCCATCCCCTTTTGGATGACACCACGTCTCTGCTTGACGAGATGGTCCACATAAAGGACAAGTGAGGAGGCCTGAGCCTCCAGTTTTAGTGGCATCTCACCTATATCCTCATCCAGCTCCCCAAATCCCCATCAATGGGGGAGGCCTTGCTATTGTCACCAGCCATGTCAATAAAATGATAAAACTGATGCCATTGCTTCTCTCAGTTTATGTCATTTTCAGTTAAAGGTGTCCATGAGCATCCAGGAGGGGCTGCCCATTCAAGGTTGGAGGGGTGGAAGCTGTTGTTAGCATGGGGCCTTTGAGGCCATGATTTCAGGGGTTTAATTTCAATGGGTATGGTGTGGGCCATGGCCTTGGTGGGGAGGTGCCTTGGGTAGGGGCTGAGAAGACCCCCATAGGGACTCTGAGGAAGGGAGGCCCTAGGGTGCCATGAATTAGGGTGGGGAGCTGCTAGGAATGTTGGGTACCCAGCCTGGTACTGGGAATGTGGGCCAGTCTGAAGACCATCACCTACATGGGTAAGGGTTTTTCTCAGGCTAGAGAAGGTCTGAAATCAGAAGGTGAGAGCAATGGATGTGAGATTGGGAGCAAGGGTGGGATAATGGTGGCAAGAACTGGAAACTAGGAGGATTTTACATTAAAAATGATAAGTGGGCCAGTGAGATAGCTCAATGGTGTGAAGTACCTACTTAGGCAAGTTTAGGCAGGAGCAGGAAATAGTAGTTTGAACCCCGGCACCAAATGCTGTGCCAGCCCCATCTTCAGGGAGGGTTGAGGCCACCAAAAAACAAAACAAAAAACTGACAAATGACTGGTAAAGAGGAAAAAACATACAAAAACAGGAGTTAAGCTCTTGTTGATTTTTTCTGTTATTGATCTATATTCTACCTCAAAAGATGAGTTACCTCTGGAGTATTTCCTTGCAAAGTTAGAATAATTTCTTGTCCCCTGTTGTGTGCACTGCTAAATTTTAATCATGTCTGAAATGAATGAGTTGACTTATGACAGGCAACACAAACAGTAATCAGTGGCTATTATGGAAAAATGGGTGTATTTATAACTATTTCTTGAAAAGACAATCATCAATTTCATAGTTGGGTACCATCATGTATTGACCAGATATTAGAAAAACTACTGATAAACTATCAGTTTCTGCATGTATAACTCAAAAGAATTAATAGGAATGTCTAATTCATTCCCAAATGTTGAACTCAATTTTTTTTAGAAGACAGGGTCTTGTGATATCATTCAACATAGCTTTAAGCTCACTGTGAAGTCCAATCTGGCCTCAAACCTGGCCTCAAACTTGTGGCAATTATCCAACCTCAGTCTCCAAAGCTGGAATTATAGGCATGTGCCAACATACTCAACATACACATCTTTATAAACATATTCTCAAACAGTTTTAAAGAAGAAACAGGATTCATATCAAGTGTTGCAGCAATCAGCTCTTTCCCATAAAGAACCCCATTAGAGGAGTTAATTTTCCATTTAGTACCTATTAATCTGCTGATTCATCCATTTTGTAATACAGAGCAGCCTTTAATAACAAGTTGTGTCTGTCCTCTCCTATACCTCATGTATCACACATGCTGACCTATAGTGCAGCGGGGCCTGGTACCCAAGAAATTGCTAAGTTCTGGGCCACTGTCTGTGACCAACACAATGTATCACCTCTTGAGGAGAAAAGGAAAAGTGTTATACAATGTAGGGAGGCATTAGGAGAGGACCCCACTTTGCAGGTTTCAGTGCATTCTAATGTCAAGAGAATTCCATTAATTTCAATAACCTTATCATCCACCAATACTCTTCAGAGGCAGCACAACTTTATATGTAGAATAAAAAGTGAAAAGATTTTAGAATTCCAGAGACACATGTATAAACATACAGATTTTATGTAACTTCACCTCTACAATTAATCATGGGTCAAATGCAAATAGGAAACTGTAAAATCTCCTAGTGTCAGTATTGGAAAGCTGTTCTATTCCCAGTGTGTATGAAATTCTATTAATTTTATTTTTAAACAGAATACAACCAATATTAAAACAAAAATTACAAGTGATACAGAATTTCACTTAAAACAATATAAAGTTCACAGTATTTGTTGTAATCCATACTGTTGTCTTAAAATTAGTTGTTCATATTAGCAGATATGTGCACGTAAATTGGAAGAACAAAGAAATATATAAGAAATTAAAAAGAAAAAATGGACAAAGTATTGAAAAAAGGAGAAAAAACAAATTAAGCATTAAGTGTTTCTTTCCATAAACCAGAAAAAATCCACATTACAGTTGTCCAAACGATCATGCTTACATACACAGATATATCTCCTTCCCCCACTCATTCTCCTGTCCATTTCTTCAACTCCAGAAAATTACCCTTCATTTAGAACAGGTTAATTCCCTTTTCCCCATATTTACCGTACTCTTCAGATTTTTTTCTGTCTCAGATTATCACACTAAGGAAGCAATATGATGTTTGCATATGCAAGTCTGATCTAATTCACTTAAAGAGTATGGTCTCTACTTGCATCCATTTACTGATAAAAGTCTCAAATTCATTTTTTATAGTTGAATAATATTCCATTGTGTAAAAATACTGTACCTTCTTTATCCATTCTTCAGTTGATGGGCATTTGGGTTGCTTCTATAATTCAGCTATGACAAATTGTGCTGCTACAAACGTGGGTGTACACATATAGCTGTAAAATTTTCACTTTTACTGGAAAAATACACAGAAGGGAAATAGCTGGCTTGAATGAACCTCCAATCCTAGATTTTTAAGGAATCTCCACACTGATTTTCATAGTGGTAGTACCAGTCTGCACTCCCAACAACATTGGAGAAAAGTACCTTTTCCCCACAGCCATTCCGGCATCTGCTATTGGTTAACTTGTTGATGTTAGCCATTCTCTCGAGGATGAGATGGGATCTCAGTGTTGTTTTAATTTGCATTTCTTGAATGACAAATGATGTTAAACATTTTTTCATATAATTACGTTCCATTTGTATTTCTTCATCTGAGATGTGTATATACATCTCAGATACCCATTTTTGGATTGGGTACTTGAATTTTGTGAAGCCTGATTTTTAAAAAATTCTTTACATGTTCTAGATAGAAGGTCTTTGTCAGAGGGACAGTTGGTTATAATTTTTGCCCAGTTTGTTGGTGTTTTTTTACTCTGTTGAGATTTTTTTATTTAATTTTATTTTGAAAGTAAAAGCCAACCAAGAACAAAAAAATCAGAAAAAAAAAAAGACTAGCCAGAAAGCTCAGTGGACTAAAGCACCTGCTTAGGCAGATGCAGGGACTAGGGTTCAATTCCTGGTGAGCTCTGCTGGCCCCCGAACCCCTGGGGTGCACTGAGATGACAAATGAGACTGGGCATTGTGGCGCGGGCCTGTAATTCCAGAGCTTGGGAGGCTGAAAACAAGGGATGACTATGAGTCTGATTTGTGTAGTGAGACCATGTACTAAATTCATTAAAAAAAATCAGAAACAAAGAAAAGCAGGTGCAGGAGCCAGGGATTTGATCCCCAGGCCTGCTGTGACGGTGCCGCCCCTGGGGCTCGCTGAGGTGGCAATTGAGACTGGGCATGGAAGTGTGTGCCTGTAATCTCAGCTTTTGGGAGGCTGTAAACAAGCAGATCACTATGAATCCAATCTAGTAGTGAGACTCTGAATACCCTGTATACCTGTCCCTAAAAACTACAAAAAAAAGAAAGAAAAGAAAAGAAAAAGAATAAAAGAAACAAGGCAGCATACAGCAGTACATATGTTACAGATTTTCCAACCAAGAATAGCTGATTAAAAATGATTGATATATTATCTATTTTATCCTTAACTCTCTTGCACAGATTAACAGATATAGTTATGCGAGATTTCACATATGGTTGGGTATTACCCCTTTCTTCAAGAAAACTTACATTTTTGTTTTTGTTTCTTTTTTCTACAATTTTTAAAAGTTTGTTTTAAAGAGGGTATAATACTAATTCATACGACATTAGAAAAAAAGAAAAAAAAAAAGGAATGGTGGACACTTAGAAGACCAAGATATCAGGTATTCAAGCATGGTTTTTGTCTTGCATACTGATATCCTCAATGTAGTTGCTTAGATCACAGATATCAGCATATACAGCTAGTAAAGATGAAAATTCTGCACATTAACTGCTAATTTGAAAAGACTGATGGAAATTTTCAGTACAATCACCTCAGCCATCCTGTGTATATATACTAGCTGGTGTTTCCCCTACCTTTTTACTTAACTTTTTTCTTTTCTCTCCTCTTCATTGTTTAAACCTTAAGTTTCATGTCTTTCTGTTTTATTGGTTTTTTTTTATTAATTTTATCGAGGAACAAATAGCAATGAGAGTTTCAAAACAGGTTAGTAAGACAGTTATAATAATTAATACGTTGCATATTATTGTCTTCACAATTTCTGTTTTATTGTATCTGTTATATTTTTCAGGTTTTATTTCTTCTTCCAGGTTCTTACACTAGGGAGACAATACAATATTTACACATGTGAGTCTCGTTTATTTTACTTATTAGTGTCTAGTTGCATCCACTTACCTATGAAGGCTTCTAGTTTGTCTTTTTTTATACCTGAGTGATATTCCATTGTATAAAAATACAACATCTTTTTCATGCAGTCCTCAGATGATGGACATTTTAGTTGTTTCCCAGATTTGGCTATCACAAATTGAGCTATTATAAAAGTGGGTGCACATATATCATTGTGGTACGTTGTTTTCATTTCTTCTGGGAGAATTTGCGGAAGGTGAATAGATGAATTGAATGGCATTTCCAGTCCTAGTTTTTTGAGGAGTCTCTACACTGATTTCCATAGTGGTTGGACCAATGTACATTCCCAACAGGAGTGGAGAAGGGGCCCTTTTGCCCTGCAGCCTCTTCAGCATTTATTATTAGTTGATTTCTTTATGATAGACATTCTTTCTGGGGTGAGAAGGTGTCTTAGTTACTATTCTCTCATTTCTGAGACAAATACCCAACACTCAGGAAGAGGGAAGGAAAGATTTGTTTAGCTTATAGTTACTGGAGG